CTATGTCTATTGAAACACTACATTAAAAAACAAGCAAACAAGTAAAGAAAAAACTTTTCAAAAAGGAAGTAAATATATGGATGGCTAATATCAATCCTTCAAAAACAATGTAAACAAGATAGTAGGGATAGCATTTGCACCATCCCTACCTAATAGTACAGGCAAAAATTAAAATATAGCAATATAACAATTTAATCACAATTGAGTTTAATTTATCCTATTTTCCTCTGTTAACAGTCTACTACACTGTGTTCCTGTGCTATTATGTAGGGACGATGCAAATGACATCCATACTATCTTGTTTGCATTGTTCTTGAAGGATTGAAATGAGCCATCCATACATTTACTTCCTTTTTGAAAAGTTGTTCTTTACTTGCTTAATACTGAGTTATATCTTCGTTGTAAGAAGACTACCGAAAAAAACAAGTTTCTAATTTACTCGTAAATATCTTTCACCCTGTCGGCAATACCAGTCTGAGAACCACGTTTTAAACCTTGCACGGCTTTCCAAAAACGAATATTTTCGTAGCTATATTCCTTCCTCAGGTACACTTCGAATTCCACAACACCAGTTGGATCGGCCAACAGTTCTTCCAATGAAATCGTCCACCGTTTAACTCGCTTCTCAGTTGGTGTTTCAACCCTAGAAAAAGAATAAGAAAAATGATTGGCGCTGGTTTATATCGAATTTAAACACTTAAACTCAGTATTATACGTATATCTGTTGGAGTTGCTTGTATCTTACAAGAGCCCAACTGATGAAGCAATGAATTCTAATCTTCATAAGTAAGAACGTAAGAAAACTATATTTAAATAGTTATGCTCATTACCGGGTTGATTTTTAATTCTGCTCTGAACAGATAGTTTGCTCTGATCGGAAGTTAATATTAATTAAGAAGATTCAAACTGGTATTCATTAGATTAACTTGTAAACTTGACAGATCTGACAGTAATACAGTTATGAAATAACAGATTTCGGTTCCTATTTTTGAAATTAAGATTCAAGGAGAAACACGTTTTACAATCTACTTATCTATTTTTTTCTTTCCAGAGTTGAAAAAACAACAACAACAGATTTACCAAAAGTTTATAATATATGAGAAAAGGTTCGATGAAAATGTAAAGATTAACAGTAAGGCTCATGACTTAGATACGATTTCCCCAGGGGTTTTGAAGGAGGTTAACGATAAGATATGTGGGCCACTTGCTATTATTTTTTGTAATTCCTTGAATAGTGTGCAGGTGCCAGAGAATTGGAAGTTGACTAATGTTACTCCTCTTTTCATGGGAGATGAGTTGGCAGATAAACGGCAGATGGATGATAATTATAACAAATGCAAGGTGATGCATATGGTTGCTTACAATTTAAATTATAAACATATTTTGATGGATAAAAAGGTTAATGGTGTTATGGAAGAAAAGGATTTTGACATTCTGGTTGATCAGTCTCTTAAACCATCTAAGCAGTGTGCTGTTGCTAGTGGTAGGGCAAATATAATTTTAGACTGTATCTACATAATTGTTGAATATTAGCGTAAAAATGTTACATGGTATAAGACACTAGTTAGAGCTCATTTGAAGTATTGTGTTCAGTCTTGGGCGGCTTACCTTAGGAAGGACATTGAATTATTGGAAAGGGTTCAAAGAAGGGCTACTAGGATGATTCCTGGAATGAAATGTTGTCATACGAAGACAAGTTAAGATCTCTGCAATTGCTTTTTCTTGAAGAAGAAAAAGCTAGAGGGGGTTCTGAATGAGATGTTTAAGATTGTAAATGGAATTGATAGTGTTGATTCGTTACATTTTTTTTAAATTAATGATGAAAATGTTAGGACAGGAGACACAAATGTAAATTTTGGCAGGGTAGGAGTCACCTAGAGCTAAAACAGTTTTATTTTACAAACAGGGTAGTTAGCATGTGGAATGGATTTCCTTCAAATGTAATGGATGCATTAAATTCATGGGAGCCAAAGGGAAAGCTTGATAAATATTTACATGATAAGGGCTGTTATTATCCGTCAGTCCTGAAGTTAGGAAACAGTAAGATTTTTCTAAGGAAAACTTCAGCTGCTTCTGCGTTTTTTATCATCATTTGAAAATTCGTCATTAAGTTGTAACCGATTGTTCAGTTTCTTCGAAGAATACGTCACTCGCATACTTCTCTAAACAACAGTTATTGAAGTTCACAATTAAATAGTAAGAGATGTTATTACTATTCTAAAAATCATTAGCTGCCTATGTTTAAAGTTGTCACTTTTTTGTCCTTACATGTTATGTTATATCGTATTAAATGTTAAGTACGAAGCTGATAGTCTGAAACATAGGCAGCTAATGATTTTTAGAATAGTAATAACATCTGTTATTATTTCATTGTGAACTTCAATAACTGTTGTTTAGAGAAGTATGCAAGTGACGTATTCTTCGAAGAAATTGAACAATCGGTTACAACTT